GTTAAAATAAGGTTTAAAAGATATGCTTGGATTTCCATTAATGTGCTGACCAGGTTTAACTACAGGTTATGCAGAGATTAATGATATTTTATGCTGTCAACACATCACTATATTTTATTTAAAACTTATCAGATAGGAATTTATTTTTACAGCCACATCTGACCGTGCGTGATGGTGAAATAATTCTCACTCCCCGGCTGTAATTTCCATCTTTTCGTTGGTCACTATGTGCAAGGTAACAATCGGGGTCTCTCAGATAAAATCTGGAGTGCAATAAAATGGAGTCATGGTTCAACTATCACTAGTCCTCCATCTAACATCTATTCATCTTGCAGGTATGCATTTTCTGAGAACTCTCTTGGACTAACAAATCAGCCTTCCTGTTGTAACATCTATTGGTTGCTTGCTTTAGAGGGTTTCTCTGTAAACAGAGAACAGCAGCTCACCTCCTTTTCACTCTGCATACTGCCCTTCAGCTATTGTCAGAATAAAATATACCAGATGGTTTAACCACCGTAGAGTTGAAGATGTAGAATCAATTCAATTCAATTATATTTGTACAGAGCTGTCAGTGTGAACTGTGTGCAATCTTTAAAGAGCAGCTGGGCAAAAGATTCCCCTCGACTTTTACTTCAAACAACACCCGCTACTGCTAACTAGCAAGACACTAAAGTTTTATGAAAAAGCCAGAGCCAATGAAGCATCAAACCGAAGGCAAGGAAGATGACCTCTGACCGAATTCTAACCCAAAGAGGAGCAGATGGACACTGTGTGACCAGCTGAGCCCACACACAGTTAGCACTCTGCCATTTAAAGGTCTCCGGCATCAGTATCTATCCTCATTCTGACTGTGGAGGTGGAAGCGCCAGGACAACATGCAGCATTTAAAAATAGACCATTTCAGTTACATTTTCAGTTTGTATATCTAAGTATTCATGTTGCAGTAGTCATAGAGACAGAAAAGAGGTCCATTTCTTATGTGCAATATGACAACACATAAGGAAAACATGGTTAAGAGGAGGTGAGAAGGTAAGAAAGAAATAGGTGATAATTCAAAAGCAGTGACGGATAAAGTAGAGGCATTAAAAGCATTACCTTCCATGGGTGTATTAGGATCCGGTCTGTTGGCAAAAACCACATCCACATAGTCTAACTGCAGTCTTTCTAGAGAGGCTTTTAAACCTAGAAATAGTCACTGCCGTTAGTACCAGTGAATCTTTGCTGTGCTACAACAAGTTCTTCATAAAAAAATCAAATTTATATTACATACTAACAAATAATTAGTGCACAGGATTCCTAAACAATTCATTTTGACAAGGTTATTGTTCTAAAGTTTTCTTGGCAACTCCAATAACCCCAAGAGTATGTCAATTATTAAAATGCAGCCAAAGAAACTAATTAGGAAGTATTTTGTTGTTGCAGTGGCAGCATTTTTTCATCTATAGTGCTGCTACTTACCTTCTATAATATGTTTTCGGGATAAACCTCTTTCAGTCTCAGCTCTACAAGAAACAAAAATGAGACCTTGCGTATTTGAAATATTACACACCAGGCCCTTCCAGGACAATATAAATATCATATGTCCTTTATGAAATATGTTCTAATAAATGTTCTAGGTTTCTTGAAAGCACCTGACAAATCAGTTTGGGTGACACATGATCCCATTATAGCAGGAGCATCAAACAAGTCGAGAGAAATTATACAGGTGGGTTGTTTCTCATTTGTAAGCAACCAGCTGAAACTTACTTTCCACCCCAGAAGATCTTTGTTGTTATCACCAGACTTGAACGTCTGAAAATGGAAAATGGAAACACTGTTAGACCAAAAACAAACAAAAAAAAAAAAAAAAAAAAAAAACATGTGTTGGAGCTGGTGATATCTGAGATCTAAACACACTTTACATGTATTAATAGCTTGGATAAAAAGCTTGGACATGTCTTCTCTGTAATGATGCATTTCTACTTTAGTCTCTCAATGCCACACTTACCCACATCCCACAATAAGCATGAGTGTGCCAGAACTTAGCCACTGCCACTGAATGAGTGTTGTAGCCTTATAACCTGACACAGTTATACAAATGCTTATCCAGGACTAAAAAAGTAGAAGACAAGGCACTGGAGTTTCATGTATTATTCAGCGTCTGTGAGGAGGAACACAGGTGTGCGGTCATGGTACGACAGCCTGCATTAATCTTTCATCTCCCCACCTCACTGTTCCAGTTCACAACACGCAGCCTCCCAATATGTGCAAAGAAGCCGATGATACAAGATTACAGAGGCTGGCTGGGACGGAAATTAAAAAACACAAAACCCAATTAAAGTGTCTCATACCTCCATCCTTTCTTCTTTATGATATTTCCCAGTACCATCTCTGCCCTGAGAAACATATGAAGAGGAGGTGTGATTAAATAAAGACAGTCTTGAAATGATGTGTTTTCGCCTGAATGACTGAGGAATGATTTCAAGCCCTAAATGAAAGAAAACAGTCAAAACTACCTACACATGCTGTTTTGCCTCAAAACGGACCTGGCCCTGGAAAGTGTACTTGTTTAGGACTGGTGAGTTTGAATTAGCTGCCAGGTCAGAGTCAGCAGCGCTTGGGCCCAGCTGTGCTGTAAAACCACCACTGTGTCACTTATTAGCAGCCACTAGGGTGGTAATGAGTGTGAGTGACACTACGTTCAGCATGGGGTTCATTACGGCCAGGTAGGACCTGTCAGCAGAACACTGACACTGACAAGTAATGAGACCCCTTGTAACACTGCTTACCACACTTATATTTATCATGCATATGGGCCCTTTCATAGAGGTAAAGCAGTTAACTACCAAGAATAATTTTGGATTCATTTAGGAAGCATCGATCGATAAGGCCAGTTGCTTGAATCAATGCATTCTTCAAATACTAAATGATGTTTTGCTGTGTGAATGTATTGAGCTACAAAGACCACAATTCATTTCAGCTATGACGGTGCTTAGGTGTTCCTGCTAATTGCAGAGTGTCTGTGTCAACAAAACCCTCAGTGGTGAGATAGTCTGACGAGGTTGTGATAATGAGAGGAATTTGAAATGGTGAGCTAAACAAATTATACCAGACTAACAGTCTACCATATGCCCATACAAATGTTATTTAGTAGGACTGCTAAATGTAATACGGTGTGAGGAAACTAAGTAAAAAAAAAAACTATCACCTGATATCCAGTATCAGTTGGGCTACAAGTGAAAACCAATGGGGAATTTAATAATATCACCTCATTGCACTCATTTCATTCAAATATCAGCAATGCTGATATTGTTTTGAAAAGTGCTACATACAGTATATAAATCTTTACATAATCCTTCCTCTTGAAGATGGGGTGAGTTACTGGGAGTGAATTTAATAATCTTCTCTTTATGATTCTTCACGCATGATGCTGTGTCATGCTTTATACTAATGCCAGACAGACAATCTTATTGGTGCAGTCAGCTTGATTTCAGCCATCCTGCCCAGCTCTGTATATATTTATACTACATACAGTGGGTACGGAAAGTATTCAGACCCCCTTAAATTTTTCGCTCTTTGTTATTTTGCAGCCATATGCTAAAATCATTTAATTTCATTTTTTTCCTCATTAATGTACACACAGCACCCCATATTGACAGAAAAAACACAGAATTTGACATTTTTGCAGATTTATTAAAAAAGAAAAACTGAAATATCACATGGTCATAAGTATTCAGACCCTTTGCTCAGTATTTAGTAGAAGCTCAATGTGATCCCCACTCTAGACATCACACACAGCTCTCCCTCTTTCTGTCTCTCTCTGACATGCACACACACACACACACACACACACACACACACACACACACTAAATTGGTGTACATAACACTGCAAAACCTAAACTGATTTCAAAATGGGTGGACGTAAGTAAAACATGCAAAATAGCCTCATAGCTTAACCAGTTACCAGCAGAAAATCAGATACTCAGTCAAGCCATAAACACAAACTGATGATCCACACACATGCACACACACGTACAGTACATTTGCATAGTGTTTGCAAGGTAAATTCAAACAGTGTCAGAGGACAGCAGGAGAGACTCCCTAATTACATCTGATTGACAGCTTCTGATGCATGTTTACACACACACACACACACACACACACACACAGTCACAGAGTAAATTACCAGCCCCGCCATAACAGTGTCAACACACCTCTCTTTACAAAGGGACTAACTCAGCAATCTAAATGAAAGACAACAGATTCACATTAATAACAAAATGTTCTCCTTTCCTCGAACCTTCATTATTCATCATGACTCATTGATATGCTAGTCAGTCCTCTGACATGCTCAGAAAGTTTCTGGGAAGGTGTCAGCTCCAAACCAAGTCTGATATCTCCTCTGAACCATCAGCATAGTGCCACTGCCCCCTAGTGGGAAACAAGTCAACAACAACAGACACCGGTGAAAGATCAGGAAGACATACATCATCAGGTACAAGCACATATTTCTATGTAGATGACAAATGGGGCAATAAAAGCGAGGCAGAATTAATGAGCACTGTTTGCAACTATTAACGAAGATAAATTGTCTTTCATATTAAAGTAGTAACCCAGATGAGACAAAGACAGGATCAAAAGAAGGACAAAAACAGATGGTGAGGTAACCAGAGGAAAGAAAAGATTGTAGAAGATGAAAAGCAAGAATGTTAGGAGCATTAACAAACTGCACTGTAAACATATAGTGGATCATATACTATGTAAGCAGACACAAACGTGAACTTGTAAGGGCCTCTTAACCATATGCCTCTGTAGAGTAAGGGCACTGCAAAAGCAGAATCAATATCAGTGCCGGCCTGTACAATGGAGTGATATTTTTATATTTTAGATTAGCATTTGTGTTTTTATTTGTTTTGTGCAATGTCTGTACTTGTGTCGGTGTATTTGTGTGTCTCAATGTGATTCTTTCCAATACAGTGTTACCCACTGTATGCTGTATATGTGTGTGTGTGTGTGTGTGTGTGTGTGTGTCAGTGCTCTTTGTAGGCACTTATATAGTGATGCATGGATGCTTGTAACAGGCAAATAAGAAAATATGAAAGTGAAAATAACTCATATTGATGACTTTTTTTTACCCAGAGGATGCTTTAATATTGATCTTTTTAATTTATTTTCTCATGCTTTATCTGTATGATTTGTTTCTAATGGCCATGCTTTAATACTAAACCCTGCTTTGTGTATGCTTTTACTATTAATTTTGTTAATCTTTTCTTTGTTATTTATCAAAAAGGTAACTACAGCAAATTGTGCTGGTCCGACACGCAGCATGAGCACAACAGATGCTGCACTACTATCTGTTTCAGAAACCTGCCAGCTGGACCCACACCTTTTTAAACAACAAGCGCTAAAACACTCCCCTGAGAGCGATAATGTGTATTTGTGTGTATAATAGTGTGCATATGTCTGTGTCACTGGTAAGCACCCACACAGTGCTCTGCCCTTCTGAAATGTGAGTAATTTGAGAGGTACAGTGGGCCCTAAGCAGGTTGACTTTCTTTATCAAACCATTAGTTTGGTCCATTGCCAAGTTAATGTTATGATTTATGGCACAAGCAATGACATACACTACCAGTCAAAAGTTTGGACACACTTTCCCATTGAATTCAATTGAAGTGTGTCCAAACATTTGATTGGTAGTGTAATGCCTCATTATGCATGGATTTATATTTTATTACTTTCAGGTCTCTATGCAGCCAATTTGTCATTGCTCTGTTCTGCCAGTTATCTGCATGCTTTTACATGCTCTGGCGCCATATGTATTTGCTGATAACAGGAGCTACACGGGATCAGCAGAGCATCTTTATTTATGCAGTGGCACATTTATTTATATTTCTGAGCAACTGTAGTCTGCATATTGGGATGGATGTGCTAGTTAGTAAATCATAATCAGTATGTAAATGCCTCTACGTGTTGAATGTTTTTTTTTTTTTACTGTTCTACTGTTTTATAGAGCTAAGAACAAACATGCCTATAGCTGTGTATGTGCAGGGTGAGGAGCATGAGTACAGCTTTGTTTATCTGTCCATGCTTACAGAATCACTATTAAAGCAGCTGACTGACAGTCTGACTGAAGGAGGAATCACAGCAAACCAGAACCAAAGACTTTCCATGAAAGTTTTCTTCATTCTGACATGCAAGGTTGTGTGATTTGTTCTACTCCTGTACACAGTATGCTTATAATAATAGCTCCTCTGCACTGCTTTGCATTTGAAACTGTCAGGATTAACACAAACATCTGCACGTCAAACAGATATGTCCTTTCTGATGAACTGTGGTTTGTTTTAGTTATATTTGGTAATACTTCTTTGTCAAAGATGAGCTTTGAGCCTGTTTTTTCTCCTAAACAAGGAAAATTCAGAACAATGAAGAGTGTAGTGATGACATTATGCAGAAAAAGCCGCTGAGGCATTAAATGAGAAATTAAGAAAACTACTGAGACCTGCTGCATATTTCTTGCCTTTTGTTTTCTTTTGATTTTCTTCTGTGAGACACTCGCACTGTGATGTATCTCTTAAAATATAATGATAAGACTAGAATATTCTTAGGAGAATCAAAAAAGGGCTGGGTGCTCTTAATCACAGATACAGTTTTGCAAAGGATGATCCCTCAGATTATTACAAAGCACCTAAATTACTACAAAACTAGATTAATCCACAGTGGAATTTAAACAATCCCTAGACAGAGCAATAAGGCAATATAGGGCTATGTTCTGAGGTTAAAAATATCACCAGATGTCCTGTAAATTTAGACCAAGTCTATGAATATCTTAACACTTGAGCGTTACAAGTAACAGTGACAAAGTGTTGATAAATAGAACATGTCTAGGACCAAGAAGAGAGAGAGAGACAATCACTTGTGTCCCTTAATAGATCATTGTGACTACTTTTTACTAGCAGAACAGTCCCATTGTACTTTCTTGTATAATGCATTTTCACATTGTATATATATTTTTGGTGATATTTTCATTTTTGAGTGCTTTGAGCAGGACGAACAAAATTCCATTCCCCTCTGTTGTGCTGGGGTGGTGGTAGAAGTTCTCAAAGCCTCTGCAAACTAAACAAACTAACTGCATGGCTACACACAATTAGGGTTTGGCAAAACAATGTTTTTGTGCTATAAGGGTGAATGGATGCACGTCTGCATTAATATTTGCTGTTAATGCTCAGTGACCTCTGCACAGAATATACTCACTTCCCAGCAGCATAGACCTCTGCTGTGTCAAACAGATTTATGCCATTTTCATAGGCCAGAGTCATCAGCTGTTCTGCCATCTGTTGAGAACACAGGGGAGAAGAAACAGAGACGGACTGATGGGATGCGTTAGAGCTTTTCAAATATTAAAACATCCTTCACCATAGTAAAGGCTACTATAGCTTTGCCTTCCTATCAAGTGTTTATTCTCTGTCTGTCGACTCTCTCTGGCAATATATTGTCACTGTAAGTAAAAATAACGCTCTTCAATCTAAGATATGACAGATTAGTCCTGCACCAGATCGGGTACCCACAAAAGGTGATGTGTAACAGATAAAAAATATGTTTATATTAATTCTGGTATGGGCACGGGCATTAAAAAAAAAAAAAAAAGACTAGGCAGGTAGTGAGTAAAGTAAACAATTAAAATAAAAAAAAATAAAGATGCATCTTATTTTAAACATCTAATCCAGAATAAATTTATCAAGCCTAAGTAACCGATGGTACAACCTCTGACCCCTCAACTCACATCCAGCTAACAGGACATCACTCAGATATCAATGTAGGCTAGGCGTCAGTGTGTCAAACTGGATAACCTAAAAGCGAAAACAGCCAGTGGTGAATACAAATTGTGGACAATACATCTTTGAAGGCCAAGTCAGACATATGGGAGAAATGCAGTGTGTTTAGAAACAGTGAGAATAACGTTATCAGCAGCTTTGCTACTTGTAAGCACTGCCAAAAAGTGTTAGCATTTGATAGCTGCAAGCTAGGCACTTCCTCACTAAGGGTGCAGAGCCCAGGTGCCGCATCCATTGACAGATACTTTTCCAATAACACAGCTCTCAAGCACTTTAAAGTAAGTATGGGTTGGCTCGCGGGTCTTGTGTTAATGGGCCAGGTCTGATACAGAGCTTTGTGGGTGCGGGGCGGGTACATGTTTTCAAAATTGGAGCTGTGCAGGACTCTGTGCCAGATCATATGGAGGGTTTTCCATTCCCAACTCCTGATTAATGGAAGATGACAAAATCCATCTGCTCTCACCTCATCTGTTATCTGTCCACCGAACGTCACCCATGTTCCTACAGAGAATGATAGGGAGGTGGGGTTCAGTATAAGCTTAAATACACAAATAACCAAGTGCACTGATATGCACAAGTAACACTGCACAAGAAATATCTTGATATTTTATGAAATCTGCAGAGTTTCTAGAACTTGCTACTTAAGCTTTTTTCAACACACTGTGCAATAAAGCTTTTTTCTCTTTATCTGAAGAAAAAGGATCATGGGTTATTAGTCACCCTCACAAATCTGTTACATACAGTCTTTGGGGTTCAGCAAATTTCTCTGTGTGTCGTATTGAACAAGAGAGTCATACCTAATCCAAGGCAGGATACCCGCAGGCCCGACTTCCCGAGGTTTCTATGAAATAGAGAGAATTACGTTAATGCTGCACCGAGGTGGTAGTGATTTGTGATATTTTGCACTCTGGCAGAGACAAAGACTGCTAGAAAATGATTTTTTTTTTTTTAGTTTGATTGATAAATATATAAACAAACAACCCTCTCACTCTGCTGTAATGGAACAAAGCTCTATTCTTAAGGTTTTTACTGAAATGGAGGTTTACAGTCAAGGAAGCAGAGAAGAACAGGGCTTTGAATAGATGTGATGTCAGCCTGCATCATGCTACAGCACTGAGACATGTAGAGTGGATGGGTAAAAAATGCAATTAACATGTGTGCCAACAATCAGAATGTGTATTTGTGAAGAGACATGTCACAGGAAAGTTGAAGAGAGGAAGTAGGTCTTAAACACACGACATCCACTGACATTTCTCACAGCACAGCAAAATCCCTCAGCTGCCATCTGACTAAAATCCCCTACATCAACGTGGAAACGAGTACTCACATCAACTTGCTTCTAAAGTTGGCATCACTGAGCCTATTGCAGCCCAGACAGACCCCTCTGCTGACAGTCACAGCTTTGCTAAGGTCTTTCATTCTTTTGTGCAAGCAAAGCTTTCTAAAGACCCCATTGGTTTGTGGTTAAAAGGCAACATCAAAGCAGATTTGTTATAGTCACTGAAAAAACAAATTTGCTTCATTTTTTTAAAGGAGGGATTCAGTGATTAACACAAACCTTAACACCTTAATATTGATATTTCTTTAGATCTCGCCAATTTAAAAAATGAAGTGTGCTACTTTTGGTCAACCCTCTTCAAGAGATAAGCCGGCACTGTCAAAGGATATAAGATCAAATGTGGCATCAGAGATGATGTAACATGAGCAGGAGTCAAAGTGAGCATGTGGGAGGATATCTAACATTTTTTTATAAGACTGCCTGTATAGAAATACAGGTGAAATAGACAGGAGTAGAAAGGGAGACAGATGATAGGTGTGTTATATGACTGTGCTTGTGACTGCATGTTTGAGTGGGACTGTGTGTGTGTGTTGAGGGGGTGAAGACATGATAAGATTACTGAATTGGTAGTGACTAACAAAACACTTCTTTCAATGTGGTCTGAACACCAAGTCCAAAAACACTGACTACACCTTTTAAAATAAATATGGAAATCTCAACACTATCATATCCCTTCTGAGTACGTTAAGTGGGCTACACTTCTGTTTTACTGAAACAAAAAAAAAGAAAAAGAAAACTCTTCAAATGCTTTTTCTTCTTATGTACAGTACTTACCTATACTTTCTATTTGAGAAGAGTTAAAAGTTCATTACATCAACATCATTAGTTTGCTTGTAGAATCTCAATTCATTTATAATCAGTTTTTAACTCACAGTTCAAAACACTATATCACAGTAAAAATCATTTTCTGAGCCAGCGGTTTCAGTGAGATTAAATGATACTAAGAAATAATGAAATCATATCCAGCTTTTGTGTCCAGCTTATTTTCTACAAAGAGTCTCATTAACGAGATCTGGTTTAATCAGTGAAATCTGTAATCAAGTTACTGTTTGAATCTGAGAGCCTGATCACTTCAAGTGTAGGAACCCACTGACTTCTAAGCAAACACAGCCATTCATGAGGGAGAAGACATAGCGGTAAGCGACACCAGTAGGCCCACATGCACTGCGGTGACAACGTTAACACAAGTCCCCTCTGGAAACCCATTGGAGCTGATCTACAATTAAATGCCTCTTAATTGCATGAGTAGAACACCCCCATAGGAGGCTGCTGGGCACCATCACAAACAGAGATAAGTGGAAACCAAAAGCAGCTTACTGACCAAAGTTGTTACTGGGGCATTGTTTATCTAGTGTTTTTAATGACGGCCTGAGACTTCTGTTTAATGGTGGTACAAAATATCTTCACTCAAATTTCTGCTTGCCTGCATCTTTTTGTAAGTAGGTTGTAAATAAACGCTACAGTGTTTGCTTCCCCCACACTCTTGTGCTACTGTACAGTGCATTCAGCAGTCTGTTTCGAGCCTTGCACTGAACGCCTAATGTGATTAAATGATTCATGTTGCTTAATGTGTTAATACAGTAGATGGTGCCCAAACATGCTGTGCACCAACAAGATGCACAGTAAACTTGTCTAAATAGATAAACTAGGAGCAACTATATGAACATGCTTCTAGAGATTTCCATCAGTGTGTTAGGGCACATTACAAAAAGAACCTCGCTGTGTAAGGCTTACATAAGCATGCTTTAACCACGAATGCTGCACATGCAACAGCAGTGCATTTCAGCACCTCCCCAAACCGCAATATAAGTAACAAGGACATCAGAATGCCCAGCTCCACCCCTACCATCCTTCTCAGTGTATGGAGGTCCCCTTATAGCACGTCGTTGTGCTGAATATTTTACAAGACTGGCCTTGAAAACTGATTTGTGCATTGCTGCAATGACCCTTTACCAAGGCCTATAAGCAACCACGGGTCAGGTTCTTGCTGAGCCTCAGCAGACACGAACCACAACAATAAAATCATCTCTGTCACACCCTCTTCAATAATGAAGGAGACATGCACAGCACAGGACAGCAATCTACAGGGACAAAGCCAGATGGGATTCAGGTAACAGAATGAGCATAGCACCTGTCAAGTATGCTTGTTTAGTTTGAAATACTAGCTAACATTTTCCTGATCCATCAGCCCTCTGATCCAATTAGCACAAAGTTCCAAGAAGACAAGGAGAAGCTTTTGAATTTGGTGTGCTGATTTATTTCAGGGTGGCTTGGGAATCTGTTTGGGGCTTATTTTTACACAGGATATATTATATTTTAGCTTGACAGAATGAATTCTACATGTATATAAGTGTAACACAGATCCTCTCCTATGTAATTTAGCAACACAGACAAGACTAACACTCTAAAACACACCAAGTGCCCCAGCAATCCAACATGAATGCGAGTTGGGTGATGAGTTCAGTCTACCATGTACCGTGTTCACTCTAAATCTGCTGTAACTGTGCGTTTCCAAATTATGATTGCAAAGGATTCTGACAGATTGTTCTCTGACAGGTCTTCCCCAATTAAAAATTCAATACTGAAAAATCATATTCTGGTTTAGTACATTAGGCAAGATCTAAGAGAGACCTGTCAGGAAGGACTACAGGCATAGAATAGGCCGACGGAGTGGGAGAGAGGGCTTAAAGTCCGTGGACAGGACAGGGCAGGGCAATGATTGAGCAAACAAGATTGCAGAGATGGAAAGAAGAATGTGCTGACAGATCTGATCACTGAGCACGACTACTACTTCACCTGTGGCTTCAGCTTAAGCAAAATACAAATGCATACTGTGTATACATACATACACACATACACAATGAATTCCACTTGCTTATATTGGCTGCAGGCTGCAGGTTTCCCCCTCCATTCACATTTATGTAACATCTATTACACTTAAAGGAAGGAGGGAGGGATGGAGCGACAGAGGAGAGCATATTAGATTAAAAATGTCCTGAACAAACAATAATAAAGACAGACTAGGGTGAAGCAAACACATCAACAGTGATTAAAAAAGAGTTCACACCTAAATTAAAATTTCATTATTATCCAATCCTGTGTGTCATTTAAAATGTCAGGCATACATTATGCTATCCCTGTTTATTCAATTAATGTCCTATTCACACCCCATTGATATGAAACAAATAGTTGTGCACATCCTCCAGCAGTTTACCACGAGCCTTTTATTCACTTGCTGCCTGCTGGATGACCTTCCTCATTAACTCAAAACAGAAAGACTCAATTCTTGCTTTAGATGAAGCCCAAAGTGTGAATATGGTGATAAATTATGACTTGAGGTGAACGGAAGAAGATTTTTTTTTTCCTGCCAAGTTGAACTGTTGTTTTAAGAGAATAGGGTCACACTTTAGTAAATATGATAATTTGCTTTCTTGTAGAGAGTTAGATGAGAAGATTGATCTAGAGTTAGAAGCTAGAGCCAGGAAATGATTACCTTTAGCTACAAAGCCCAGCAGTTCTTTAAGGAAACCATAAAGCAACGCACAAACAGACAAATGAAATTTCTACACAGATACAGCATATTGGACTATGGAACAGTATCTATGTAGTAGTCAGTCGGGTTATACCGAGTGAATCCAGGTCTTGCCTCCTCTTGGCAGTGTACAACAAAATTAATACGTATTCTTTTTCTAGACTACACTAAACTCTGTCAGTGCAGCAAAGAAAGAGCAATTGCCTTCATTTTCTCCTTCAGCATAAC